GCGTGGTTTTGGAACTAGTTCGTCCTTCAGAGCCATGGTGTTTTCCTGCCGGGAGCTGCTTTTTTCGAAGTTGTTTTCCTGCGAAAAAGGTTGTTCGTCCTTCAGAGCCATGGTGTTTTCCTGCCGGGGGCTGCTTTTATGCTTTTTTCGAAGTTGTTTTCCTGCGAAAAAGGTTGTTTTTCTAGGATTTCAGACGGGACGTTAGGCACTTTTTTGGCGTGGTTGTGGGACTAGTTCGTCCTTCAGAGCCATGGTGTTTTCCTGCCGGGAGCTGCTTTTTTCGAAGTTGTTTTCCTGCGAGCGGCCGCAGGCAACAGAAATTCTCGAAAAAGGTTGTTTTTCTAGGATTTCAGAAGGGACGTTAGGCACTTTTTTGGCGTGGTTTTGGAACTAGTTCGTCCTTCAGAGCCATGGTGTTTTCCTGCCGGGAGCTGCTTTTTTCGAAGTTGTTTTCCTGCGAGCGGCCGCAGGCAACAGAAATTCTCGAAAAAAGTTGTTTTTCTGGGATTTCAGACGGGACGTTAGGCCCTTTTTTGGCGTGGTTTTTGGAACTAGATCGTCCTTCAGAGCCATGGTGTGTGCGATTTGGTAGAAGCTGTTGTAGTGCAAGCAACCGCAGGCAACACCATCGAAGTTTTTTGCCTGCTAGCAGGAGGAAAAGTAACAGCAGCAAATAGACGACCCGCGGCAGCAGCAATAACAGCAGCAGAAGCTTTTGCCGCAACAGCAGCAGGAGCAGAAAGTTTTCATGCTGAGAGCTGAAGCAGACAAGCAAGCCGGAACTGGTCGTTTGTTGTTACTGTGCATGCCATTCCGTTCGGGGGCACACGCGGCCATTGGATTGTTTGTGTTTGCTTTGGATTCGCCCAAATTCTTTGGTGCTCTGGACGCAGGTTCCACAAGTAGGGCATATGTGCGAAAAGCGCGTTGCCGGCAGCGTCGGTCGAAGAAGGCCATCCTGCACGCGAAATTGTCTCCCACATACGCGTCGGTGGTTGACATGTCCGGAAACAATTGACGTAGTAACAGATTTTTGGCAAAAAGGGCATGAGTACACATACAGCTTTTGTGGTGGTGGCTTTTGCTCCATGTCTTTTGGGATTGCAACCTCGTGTGTACCTTCTTTTTCGCTGGTCATGGTTTGGCCCGTGTGTTTTTTTCTGTATTCTGCGATCGCTTGCCATGTCTCGCGTAGCACTTGGGTTTGACGCAATTTTTTGCGAAGAGCGAGCTGGGATGCACCAACACCATACCGGGATGAACCCCATGCTGAACCTGAAAAATGGGTAAGTTAACAAACATGCCAACTCAAATAGGATGATGTGATACAGTACCTTAAATTCTTTTTGCCTGTAGCTACCACCAGGACGAGCACAAGATCAAAACCCCCCATGCTTTCACCAAATTCATCTACTAAATACTGATAATAATTTAATTGTAACAGTGATAACAATATATATATATATATATATATATATATTCTGATGCTGAAGCTAATGATGCTGCTGATGCTGCTGACTTGGGCCCATGTTTTTTTCTTTCCATTTCACAAACCCAATTATTACGATGTGCCTTTTTCCTTGCGAAGCCTACGACTCACGCAAGGGTGGTCAGACACACCATCCTAAAAAGAAATGGAAAGAAAAAACCATGAGCACAAACCAACAATTCCGGTCAAAAACAAAAAGATAATGGAAAAATACAAAAACAATCAAACAATGAAGAAGTGACAGAACCGTTAAGTCATCAAGAAATAATAGACAATCTTAATGATACATTCCCTTCTTTTCAAATCTTAGTTGAATAAATGAAAACTTTAAAACCCTAACAACCTCAACAAATCCTGACCCAATCAATGATACTCCCCTAAAATAATCAACAAGGTTAGGATGAATCGTTTTTACCAAAAATGTCTTACAACATACATCACAAAAAACATCAACACCAAGGAACGCACGTTCCCCTTTAACATAAAAACCATAACAGGCAACAATGCGTGTAAAACTGTCCCAGGAACATCCTTTCCCCATTTTTTTTGGGGGGGGTGCAGGCCTGTACCATATATACGTTCTGACGGCTTGCCAATTCTTCCGGGGTCGGCGGCAGGGGCGGCAGCCCTTAAATTAGGTGGTGTTTTGCTGTTTCGGATGTGTTTCGAAAAGGGTGTCTGGCTGTTTGTTTCTTGCTTTGGAGGCTGTTTGATTGCAGCAGCACCACAGCGGCACCACAGCAGCACCACAGCAGCAGCAGCAGCAGCGGCAGCAGCAGCACCAGCAGCAGCAGCAGCAGCAGCACCAGCACCAGCACCAGCAGCAGGCAGCAGCAGGGAGCAGCAGGCAGGCAGCAGCAAGCAGCAGCAGGCAGCATTCGACCCTTTAGGCAGCAGGCAGCAGCAGGGAGCAGCAGGCAGCAGGCAGCAGGCAGCCGCAGGCAGCAGGCAGCCGCAGGCAGCAGTTTCAATTTTATAGTAGGGTTTCAGAAGTGACGTTAGGCCCTTTTTTGGGGTTCCTTTGCTACGTTTTGGGCACGAAATTAGGTGGTGTTTTGCTGTTTCGGATGTGTTGCGAAAAGGGTGTCTGGCTGTTTGTTTCTTGCTTTGGAGGCTGTTTGATTGCAGCAGCACCACAGCAGCAGCAGCAGCAGCCACCAGCAGCAGCACCAGCAGCAGGCAGCAGCAAGGAGCAGCAGGCAGCAGCAGGTAGCAGCAGGCAGCACCAGGCAGCAGCAGGCAGCAGCAGGCAGCAGCAGACACCAGCAGAGGCAGTAGCAGGCAGCGGCAGGCAGCGGCAGGCAGCGGCAAAGTTGCAATTTTAAGTAGGGTTTCAGAAGTGACGTTAGGCCCTTTTTTGGGATTCCTTTGCTACGTTTTGGGCACGAAATTAGGTGGTGTTTTGCTGTTTCGGATGTGTTTCGAAAAGGGTGTCTGGCTGTTTGTTTCTTGCTTTGGAAGCTGTTTGATTGCAGCAGCACCACAGCAGCAGCAGCAGCCACCAGCAGCAGCACCAGCAGCAGGCAGCAGCAGGGAGCAGCAGGCAGCAGCAGGGAGCAGCAGGCAGCAGCAGGCAGCAGGCAGCAGGCAGCCGCAGGCAGCAGCAGACACCAGCAGAGGCAGCAGCAGGCAGCAGCAGGCACCAGCAGAGGCAGCAGCAGGCAGCGGCAAAGTTTTAATTTTATAGTAGGGTTTCAGAAGTGACGTTAGGCCCTTTTTTGGGGTTCCTTTGCTACGTTTTGGGCACGAAATTAGGTGGTGTTTTGCTGTTTCGGATGTGTTTCGAAAAGGGTGTCTGGCTGTTTGTTTCTTGCTTTGGAGGCTGTTTGATTGCAGCAGCACCACAGCAGCAGCCACCAGCAGCAACACCAGCAGCAGGCAGCAGCAGGGAGCAGCAGGCAGGCAGCCGCAGGCAGCCGCAGGCAGCAGCAGGCAGCGGCAAAGTTTCAATTTTACAGTAGGGTTTCAGCAGTGACGTTAGGCAGTTTGAGTAGAAATGCATATAGCCAGTAGCCAGCAGCCAGCGGCAATAGTAGCCAGTAGGCAGTTTCGGACTACTACCACTACTATTCTATAGGGTAGAACAGCACATAGCTAGTAGCCAGCAGCCAGCAGCAATAGTAGCCAGTAGGCAGCAGTCGACAGCCAGCTTTTGGTGGTTTACGATGTGAACATCAGCAGCTGTTTGGCATCCTTCAGGTCCCAACATAACTGTAGCCTGCTTCCTTGGTGTCCTGATCAGGCAGACTGCCCAACTTTTCGGGGTCGGCGGCAGGGCGGCAGCCCTTAAATATAATATCAAAATAAATCAAAATAATTCATACATATTCATACTATACCATATTTATCTTTACAATTCTTTACACAAATTCTTGGAACACCCAACTGTTGGATTCCCACAAATCACTAAGTTCCTGGCACCATCTCCATGTTGCTTCCCTGCCTCGACTGGGGGCGTGGACCTTTGTAGAGTTGCATCATGGTGCCCCATGTGCCCCTTTGAAAAAGGAAGGCATGGAATCTCCGGAATCTCTTCATGTCGTATGCCCCTGCCATCCCCTGCCCCTCCATATCCTCCATTCGCTGCTCCCGAAGCGGATGCCTTCCAGTAGCCGTAAAAATGCTTTCCATCGCTCCAAACAAATATGCCAAATCCTTCCCTGAGCGTCGTGCTTGAGGTTTGGGAGGGTGGTTACCGATTGGTCGTATAGGATTAGCGTCGGTGGGGGTGGTTGATTGAGATGGCTTTTCGTTCTCCTGCTCCTGCATTCTGTTTGCCCTTTCCTCATATTATGCACATCAAAACAAGTGAAAAAAAAGGAAGAATAGAACTATGACTTATGGACTATACCTGAGAAGGGGGGAACGAAAGCCAGCATCCCATCTACCCCTATTTTCCCCCAATGATTTTTCACCCACAGACTTTTCCCCCACATACTTTTCACCCAGAGACTCTTCACCCAGAAACCCTTCTTGCACATACTTTTCACCCAGAGACTCTTCACCCAGAAACTCTTCACCAAGAAACTCTTCTTGCACATACTTTTCACCGAGACTCTTGACCCAGAAACTCTTCTTGCACATACTTTTCACCCAGATACTTTTCACCCAGAGACTCTTCACCCAGAAACTCCTCTCGCACATACTTTTCACCCAGAGACTCTTCACCCAGAAACTCTTCTTGCAAATACTTTTCACCCATATACTTTTCACCCAGAGACTCTTCACCCAGAAACTCTTCTTGCACATACTTTTCACCAATATACTTTTCACCCAGAGACTCTTCACCTAGAAACTTTTCTTGCACATATTTTTCACCCATATACTTTCACCCAGAGACTCTTCACCCAGAAACTCTTCTTGCACATACTTTTCACCCATATACTTTTCACCCAGAGACTCTTCACCCAGAGACTCTTCTTGCACATACTTTTCACCCATATACTTTTCACCCAGAGACTCTTCACCCAGAAACTCTTCTTGCACAGACTTTTCACCCATATACTTTTCATCCAGAGACTCTTCACCCAGAAACTCTTCTTGCACATACTGTTCACCCATATACTTTTCACCCAGAGACTCTTCACCCAGAAACTCTTCTTGCACATACTTTTCACCCATATACTTTTCACCCAGGGCCTCTTCACCCAGAAACTCTTCTTGCACATAATTTTGACCCAGGAACTCTTCTTGCACAGGCTTTTCACCCAGAAATTCTTCTTGCATATACTTTTCACCCATATTTTTTTCATTCAGAGACTCTTCACCCAGAAACTCTTCTCGCACATACTTTTCACCCATATACTTTTCACCCAGAGACTCTTCACCCAGAAAATCTTCTTGCACATACTTTTCACTCATATACTTTTCACCCACAGACGGATCAAACTTATATTTCTCACTCACAGACTTTTCCCCCATATACCTTTCACCCATAAACTTTTCACCCAGAGACTCTTCGCCCAGAAAATCTTCTTGCACAGACTTTTCACCCAGGGACTCTTCACCCAGAAACTCTTCTTGCACATACTTTTTACCCATATACTTCTCACCCAAAGACGGATCAACCATATACTTCTCACCCACAGACTTTTCCCATATAGACCTTTCACCCATATACTTTTCACCCAGAGCCCCCTATTTTCACTTCGTTCGCAAACAACAACTGGCCAGCTTCCCGGCCGGTTTTCGTAATATATATATATATAAATATATCGGCCTGAATTGTCAGGAATGCTCTACATTCTGCTTCACAGGCCATTATGTACCTCCTCCACGGTACTTTTGGTGGTTAATTTTTGTGACAGCTGCTATGTCTACGCCTTCAAACCTCGCATTATGCGCTAGCCCTCCTTCCCCCTTCACACAAACGCTTTCCCATCTGACATCACAGTGCCCGACAAAGACCCTCGAGCCGGGCGACTTTTGTCCTTCCTCCACCAACATCGACAGCAGTGGCAAAAGGCGCCTTTACCCTTACCTTTCCTATCTGTGCTAGCACTCCTTCCCCCTTCTCGCAGACATCGGCTCCTCTGCCAAGCACCCCAAAAGGCTCCCCAAAATGCGGACCTAGGGGGAATCGATACCCTACCGTCACCCTTTTGCCGCATGGTACATGACCCGAAAAAACGCTCCCAAAACACACCCTTCCCCCCAAGTAATAGCGAGATTTTGGCGGACTTGGGCAAGCCCTCCCCCCAGACCCCCTTGTACTCACTTTGTTCGCAGACAGCAACGATCCAGCTAGCTGGCTTTCGTAATATATGTATAATTCCCTGACCATCAATATGAAACACATGGGATGTGACTAGCGCTTTAGTGTCATGCCAAGTAGCTTCTGGTCGTCAACATACTGACCACCTCAGCATGGTGGCTGCACTGTCATGCCGGATTTCGGATTAGGTTTTTAATTATATGTTTTTATGCTTTTATTATGAGCGGCACTCAATGCAAGGCCAAAACCGACATTGACACCAAATGGGAGTTCCCTTGAGCGCCTTGAGGTCTCACATGGTTTCCAAGTATCAGCCCTTACAATCCTTACGCCATCCTTACCGCTAGGTCAGTTCGTTACCTAATTCCTATGGCAGTTGACCTGGACCCAGCCACTTCAGCCCAGCTGCTAAAACTCCGGCCATTGGGCCACTTGTACTCCCCCATCCTGGTCACATGGAATTTCATTGTCGAAGTAAGTTGTGTTGCAGCACGAGTAAAGTCAAGCACGCAGGAACAGGTCTAGCAATTAGCTTCATGTGTCGTCGCGCACTCAAACTTGTCTTTGTGGAAACGCACGAGGGCAAAAGGTTTCGCATGGTTTCGTTTTCAGTCTGTGGCATCCCGCGGCAAAATACTGTATCTGAAAATGTTCAGATTACTTTACTTCGTGTGATCCCCACCATGACACTTATCGATTTGCTACTGGCAAATCTTCTGGCATTCTATCTGGCATATCTTCTGGCATTCGATCTGGCATTCTATCTCGCATATCTTCTGGCATTCTACCTGGCATATCTTCTGGCATATCTTCTTGCATATCTTCTGGCATTCCATCTGGCATTCTATCTGGCAAATCTTCTGGCATTCTATCTGGCAAACATTCTGGCACTTTATCTGGCATACCTTCAGGCATTCTATCTGACATTCTATCTGGCATACCTTCAGGCATTCTATCTGGCATATCTTCTGGCATTTTATCTGGCATATCTTCTGGCATTCTATCTGGCAAACATTCTGGCACTTTATCTGGCATATCTTCTGGCATTCTTTCTGGCATTCTATCTGGCGTTCTATCTGGCATATCTTCTGGCATTCTATCTGGCCGTTGAGGGCCAGCGGTGCTCACTGGGCTCGGAGGGTCCTAGGTTGAGGTCCAGCGGTGCTCACTGAGCTCGGAGGGTCCCAGGTTGTCCAGCAGTGCTCACTGAGCTCGGACGGTCCCAGGTTGAGGTCCAGCGGTGCTCACTGAGCTCCAGGTTGAGGTCCAGCGGTGCCCAGTGCGCTCAGACCCTTGCAGTTGAGGTCCAGCAGTGCCCACTGCGTGCGGAAGTTGGCGAAGAGCTTGGCGAAGAGTTGGCAAGACGGAAGTGAACATGGAAGTGGAGGCAGAGGTGGTGGAGGAGAAGAAGGAGAAGAACAACTCTGATAAAATCTATAACAACCCTCACCTGGCAGGTGGGGAACTGAGCCACTAAGCTTTGACATTGTTGAGCCCTGGATGGGAATCATCAGCAGCCACTCAGGGCCATACCCGTGGATCTGGGCATTCTTCCATTGTCCCCGAAACTGGCGGCCGTCCTGTGCCCATCAGAGAGCTGGATTTATACGTGTTTTGAAGCACTTGTTCTCTTCAAGTTCAGTAGTGAAACCCAAATGATCATAGCTGACAAAGCACAACACAAGATCTCGCATTTTCCTACAAAGAGAGTCTCTTCAAGGATCAAACGCGAGGTGAATGATGATGATTATGATGATGATGATGATGATGACTTCCCAAACATTTTGGGGTCGCAATCTGTCCTCACCAAGATATTGACCATAGCCATTGATGGAATTGTCACCTTGGCAAAGCATAGTAAAATTCGATAAAAATCGTCTAGCCAATTTCCACTTCTTGACTAGGCGAATTTCACTTGCAAGGGAGACTAAGATGCGAAGATAAGGGAAAGACATGAAAAGGCCAGTTATTGGCCAGGAAAGGAACCAGGAGGGTGCAAGTGTCCAAAGGTCTAGGTCTTTTTCTTTTTCCCTCTGAAGCGAAATCATACATCGTGAGACAGTAGTGAGACATGCCAAATACCCGATGGCATGGCTGGAAACAACACACTCAAGAGAGCTCGAAACCGTATGAACTTTTCAGGCCAACCCTCGATGGCATCGAATTGTTTACTTGCTGAGGAACAATTCTTTCAGTGAACGAACTGAAACCTGCCCGCTTTAGACTTCAATTAGTTTATGTTAATATAATAACATATAATACGTAGTACAATATAATATAATATAGTATAATAAAATAAAATATAATATAATAAAATATAATATAATATAATAGTTTTTTTTGCGAAAAGGGCCCCAACGCCAGCGTCCGGCATAGGTGGAACCATCTGGCCAATGGTACACCCTGCCCCAGCACGGCGTGGCATGCGAAGGCTGCGGCTGTAGCAAATCAAGCATTGTGAGATTCGTCTTTGTGTGAAAGCTGGCCATGTCCAACGCAAAACATGACGATATCCAAAGAAAATGCAGCAAGTTCAGAAACCCACAGAGCTAGCAAACAACAAAAGAAAACCATGTTATTCATGTGTTTTTCATGGGCATTCAGGAATCATGTCAACATCATTCTGGGATCTTCTGGGCAAAGGTCACGAGGGGACAACCGTATTCTCGGGGTAGATCTGCAATCAACGTGAAAAACATTCGAGATCAGTTGAGACTGATGTGAAAACTCATGAACCATCTTTGACTTCACCATCTAATGTAAACGAACTTGGCGTGTCTCCTCCCTCGACGCACACTGCTAGCGCACCCGTAGCCACTCTTCTGGCCGAAGCGGAACTGACCTGCCACAAAAACATGACATACAGATACATACATTATACATTATATAATTTCAATTGAGAAGTGCCAGCATTTTGCAGTCAATTTCTCAGCTGCACTTTCAGGTCTAGTAGTCACCTTGAGGCTTCACGACATCAAAGTATCGAAAGCCAATATGACCCCAGGCCACTTGTTAAGTTGTTCTGCATCTGCATGAGTGTCTGAAGTTTCTCCGATTGAACTATGCATTCCACAGTAGATGGCACCACCGTCCATATCTTCCATGTTTTGATTCTTTCCCCACCTGCCAGGTGAGGGTTGTTAAGTTTTATCAGACTTGTTCTTCTCCTCCTCCTCCTTCTTCTCCTCCTCCTCCTTCTCCTCCACCACCTCTGCATCCACTTCCATGTCCACTTCCGCCTTGCCAACTCTTCGCCAAGCTCTTCGCCAACTTCCGCGCGCAGTGGGCACTGCTGGACCTCAACTGCCGGCTTCCGATCTGAGTGGGCACGGCTGGACCTCAACCGCAAGGGTCTGAGCGCGCTGGGCACCGCTGGACCTCAACCTGGGACCTCCGGACCTCAGTGCACACCGCTGGACCTCAACCTGGACCCTCCGAGCTCAGTGAGCACAGCTGGACCTCAACCTGGGACCGTCCGAGCTCAGTGAGCACCGCTGGACCTCAACGGCCAGATAGAATGCCAGAAGATATGCCAGATAGAACGCCAGATAGAATGTCAGAAAGAATGCCAGAAGATATTGAAGATATGCCAGATAAAGTGCCAGAATGTTTGCCAGATAGAATGCCAAAAGATATGCCAGATAGAATGCCAGAAGGTATGCCAGATAAAGTGCCAGAATGTTTGCCAGATAGAATGCCAGAAGGTATGCCAGATAGAATGTCAGATAGAATGCCAGAAGGTATGCCAGATAAAGTGCCAGAATGTTTGCCAGATAGAATGCCAGATAGAATGTCAGAAGATATGCAAGAAGATATGCCAGATAGTGCCAGAAGATATACCAGGTAAAATGCCAGAAGATATGCCAGATAGAATGCCAGAAGATATGCCAGATAAAATGCCAGAAGATATGCCAGATAGAATGCCTGAAGGTATGCCAGATAGAATGTCAGATAGAATGCCTGAAGGTATGCCAGATAAAGTGCCAGAATGTTTGCCAGATAGAATGCCAGAAGATTTGCCAGATAGAATGCCAGATAGGATGTCAGAAGATATGCCAGAAGATATGCCAGGTAGAATGCCAGAACATATGCCAGATAGAATGCCAGATCGAATACCAGAAGATATGTCAGATAGAATGCCAGAAGATTTGCCAGTAACAAAACGTATAAATGTCATGGTGGGGATGACTCGAAGTAAAGTAATTTAAAGTACTGCATCAACGCAAACAAATTGTCGAAGCAAGAGTTGAACCAAATACAAAATCGTCCAAAACCATCCAAGACCTACAAGCTACTGACATCCACTGACGATGCATGGCTGACCAAACACTACACACCTCACACAGCCTACATCAACTCCTGCAAGATATTGCAAGATTCTTTAGATTCCTGCCCCAAAAGTCAATTACAAGTTCTTGCAATTTCTCCAGTATAATCTGTATATTGGCTAACAAAGATGTCCGATGTACGGCTACTGCCTGTACGAATAATCAATCCTGAATCAATGCGAGCTCCTAGTCCCTTCCGACACAATCCATGCAGCCCATCCAACTTCCGTCCTTCATATCGTGCTCCACCCTCCCACATCTCCACCTCCGTAAATCAAGCACAAGGAGTGTTCAGTGTGTTCAGTGTGTTCGCTGTGTTTGCACTTAGACTGACATGAACTGCCCAAAAACCGAATCATCATGAGTCACGACGACGGAGAGGATGAAGGATGTGCAAGCACATCTTGAAGCAACACTGTTACAGCTATTGGAGACTTCAATGAAAGTGCCATGGCCCGTCATGCAAAGAAAGCATTGCCGTCGGCGTCACATGTCGATGGAGGCCCTAACGCTCAGAGGGGATCACAAACTCCTAATTATAGGAAATGCACCTTTGCTCCTTTTGTGCTGAAGCAGGACCAAAGCTGGTAGGAATAAAACACTGAGCGGCCCCTGCCCGAAGTCTCTTTTGATCAAAAGTAGCCATATCAGAAAGCCTCTTCTTTCAACGTCAACATGGCAGAAGCAAAACAAAGCCACATTGAAAAAACCTTTCTCTTTAGGCCAACATGGCTGAATTTAAGAAATAAGGGGGCAACACTCGTAGCATTCTTTTCATCTTCCAGAAACTTCGGGCCCGGGGGCGGTGGGAGAAGTTGCTGTGCTGTGAGCAAAAGAAGCACACGCGCAGTTTCCTAAATCATGGGGCCATGAAACAAGGAAATGCACCTCCTTTTGTGCTGAAGCAGGACCAAAGCTGGTAGGAATAAAACACTGAGCGGCCCCTGCCCGAAGTCTCTTTTGATCAAAAGTAGCCATATCAGAAAGCCTCTTCTTTCAAGGCCAACATGGCAGAAGCAAAACAAAGCCACATTGAAACAACCTTTCTCTTTAGGCCAACATGGCTGAATTTAAGAAATAAGGAGGCAACACTCGTAGCATTCTTATCATCTTCCACGACCCCGCCTCGTTGACTTTAGTCGTGGCTCAACACAGCTCTTCTAGTTACCTCCTCCCAGTGACGTAAAAACGTCATATGTTTTTGAGATGGTTTAAATGTCAATTGAGTAAGGAGGGCAATTGAATCCTGAATATATACTTTGACTGTCCGTTCCGCTGACCAACGACCAGTGTGTGCTACTTGACTGTAATTTCAACAAGACATCCACAGGTCAGTGGCACCGCCACGCCGCAATGAATAAGGTATATATGATTATATATGCAATTGATTGCAATTCCAATGAAGAAAGTGCAGCATTGAAAGTTGAGCGAAAACGAGATTGGGGCCAAGGAGCTAGGAAAGCCTGTGGGTCACATGTTGCTTTCCACACTTGCAGTAAATGGACTAGGGTTGAATCGTGACAAGATACCGTGCCTGTATGTGGGTTACGGGACCCAGTCTTGGTTTCCCCAAGGTACAAGATTGCACATCGTGACCCGGCTGGAATGACAATGTCTCGCGCTTGCAAACTAAGGAGTTCTCCCGTGCGAAGTAAACAGCGGAAAGCTACTCCTAGGCTTAGGGCCACTTGAAGACTTTGATGGTGAAGAAATCCCATTGGTATTTGAACAATTTGCCAAGTCATAGGGGGGCCCTGGCTGGGATTTCGAATCGCTGCCATGTCTTGAATAATCTCCAGCTACCATTTAAACAGCGACGCATACTAGGCTGGTAGTGCTGAATGGCGCTCAACACGTCAGCAGCCAAGGATTGTCCTTCACCTTCTTCCCAAAGAAATTCTATGAATTCTTGGGCTTGACCATCAACTCGTTCTTTTGTGGTCCCTAAAGCTTGACACTGCCCAGAAAGATGCGACAAAAGCCGTTTGGAAGCTTTCTCATAGCGACATTCAATCGGAGGATCTGCCTGTAATAGCGGCGAAAGACTGCGTATGACTCTAGGCTCTCTCCTGCAGCAGCTTGGGCTAGAACTGTCGCTGCTTCTTTGCAGGCTCGCCGGCAGAGATACCCTGGAAGTTTTTTGGAAATCCTCCTCAGCTTGTGGTCTGTGGGAAGAGAAGAGCTCTGGGATGACTCCCCTGAAGTGCTGGAGCTGCTGGATGTTTTCTTGTCCTTGAAGGAAACTTTCACAGGGCGCTTGAAGAGGTGATCCAGAGGAGTTCCTTTGACACTCCAGTGTCCAGTGAGACTGAGCGATCATGGCTTTCACTTGGGCAGACCTTCGAAGTTTGAGGGACGGGTCCAGGCTCTGGCAGCGCACATGAGCTTCTGCTCCTGAGTGCTCCTGCGTCTGCTCTTGGCCGAAACCCGAACTTTTGGGCTGCCTGCTGGAGGGCTTTGGTTTCGGTGGGTGCTTGTGGAGGAGCGAGAATCTCTTCCTCGCAGTTCTTCCCCGCACTCTTCGGATAGGGCGTCTACCTTCCGAACTTGCGTCAGGTAGCCGGCATTGTCCAAGGTAAGTCTTTGCTCCTGAGTCACTGAGGTGTAGCAGATGTAGAAAATGTTCGTGTTGCTGGGATTGGACAGCCTCCATTGGCGGAGGTTTGGCAAAGTGGTGCCTTTGAGGAGAATCCCCCAGCCAGCGGCCTTCCGCATCCTGATGAATCTCTACAAGTTTGCCGTGTGCTTTCCCTAACTCGTGGCAATAGTAAACTCTACCTCGAGGAGACTGTTGAGGGGGAAGGATGTCTCCTTCACATTTGGGTGACTTCTTTTGGTTTCGTTTCGCTCGCCCGTCTTGTCTGTTCTTTGGGGCTGGTTTGGCTTTTGCTTTGGCAGCCCTTACACTTGTCGGTCTACGGATCGACCTCTTCGGAGGCATCCGCCCAGCTCCTTTCACGAGCTTTCAGGGCTTCTGCCGCCCTTGTCGGGAGGATTGGGCTCTTCTTGGCCAAACTCCTCACCAGATGCTTTCTTTGTAAGGGGCTCCTGATGAGGTGAAGGAGGCCCTGAGGAAGCTAGGCTCTTGCTTTTGGAAGCTTGATGCTTTGCCCACCAAAGAGGGCGGTTTACCCCTCTGTTCTTTTTCTTCTGCTTTTGTTTGCCTGTTTTGCCTTTTCCCTTTACTCCTGTCTCGTTTTGGGGCCTAGGAGGATAAGCAGGTTGTGCTGGCCGGGATGCGGCACGAGGGGGCACGACAACTGGCGACTTTGAATGTGGAAGTGGAGGCTCTGGAGCGGCTGGTGGTTGAGGAGCCTTTTCCCGTGCTTTGAGGATCAAAGGAAATGGGCGGAGGGAAAGTTTCCAGTCCGGGCTGTCCTCGCGGTGCTTGCGTGATGCCTTGCGCTATCTCTGCCCCGCCGCCTTTCCTGAGATCTGGGCTCCCTCCTCCTGTGGGCCTTAGGAGTGGGAGGTGAAGGCGGCCTTCGTTCTGCAGAAGGGGGCCGATGGGAGTGGGAGGTTGATGTGTGTCTTTGTGGTGGTGAAGAAGGAGGCCCTCTGCCCTCCTGTGAAGAGTTTTGACGAGCAGGCGGAGGAGGTGGAGGAGGATGAGAGGATGCCTCCTGAACCGACGAACCCACTCGAAGAATTCGCCGATGAGATGAGTGATTCGACTGCTCAGGTCAAGGAAGTCCCTGGCAGTGAATTTTGGGTCCTGCGCCAGACGGACCAGTTGGAAGGATCCCCCACAGAGAGTGCAGAAGATGGAAGATCCTGATTCGGGAACCCACCTGCGGCAAGAACGACAGGCGGTCCCACTCATTTCCAGAAGTTGCTGTGCTGTGAGCAAACGAAGCAGACGGGCAGTTTCCTAAATCATGGAGCCATGAAATATTGAATATCTCATCAGGCCCTAATTGCAAAACCCTTCAGCAAAGAAACAAACATGATGGCAAGGTAATTAACAGCTATCAGCGAGTTAATCAGCTGCTGTCCCTGGGCGCACCCCATAGCCATGTTGCAAGTCTTCCTGCCACTCGCCGCTTATCGTGATGCCCCGGTTGGAGTGGATGTACCTTAAGAATAGAGGGCTGAGCAATGCTGAGCAAGTTACCTCCGGAACATGACCAGAACAAACACAGAGGATGGGCTGTAGATGGCTGTAGCATGCTGTAGCTAGCAGCTGGCTAGGGAGCCCATGGCATAGGAGCTAGGGTCCCAACTTTCCTATGCCATGGGCAGCGTTGTTCTTCCAGTGGCCGACGAAAATATCGCCATTGGCGTGAACAAATTTTCCTGGACCTGTCACGAATGCGTGGAAGGTACCATCGGCGAAATGAAGTGCTTCAAGAGCTTCCAACTTTCACATTTATATATACTGTGAATTTATAATATATATATATATATCCCTAAGGTAAAAGGAGCACTGAAGGAGTTCTCGACACAGCCCTTATTCTTCCTCACTTTGCCCTTAAACACGGTGCCTTCTGCCAGATTTCTGGCCCAAAAGCCGGTGAACCGGGCACCATCTTTCCACACCTTGCCATTCAGTTCAGGCAGCCTATGATACATAATGTGTCGAAAAAGCAATGCGACGGAAAGCTACACAAACGACTGGCTATCTATGTTGACTTGACAAACTTGAAATCACCAGAGCTCCGTCTACGATGCACAGTTTCCCAGCTGACTCGGAAACATTGAGCCCATCACCTGGGTGCCAAAGCCATGACGTCCCTGAGCAGTGGCAGGTTGCGAGTCGAGGTGAAGAGTGTAACTTCATGATTCAGCCTGAAAGCGAATCTTGCTTAGGCTTGACCACTGCTCAACTAGGCTTGTTGGGAACAAGACTTAAGCGGACTGAGGCCTTGCTATTTGTCGTGCCAAGGTGCGTTGTCTTGCCATTGACCTCTGTAGACTGCACCAGTCCTGTGCCAGTTTGGTGTGGTTCCACATCAGAAACATGGTTTCTGAAACAAAGATTAGAATTTAGATGAATTTAGAATATCAGAACACCTGACAAGTTGAACTTCTCGTTATTAGTTCAAAACCGTTGTTGTATTTTGTTGCTGTAAAATTATTCTGGCGCTTTTGTTTGTGCTGCATTGCTGCATTATAATTCCACTTTTTCTCAAGCAATGCTCTATGTAATTGGAAGCAGCAACGAATGTTCTCGTATCATGCCAATCATTGCCATTGCCAATCTATACATCCGCCCATTTCGTCCTGAACTCATAGCTCTCAGAGTCTTTGAGCTGCAGGCCCGTCTTGGTCTGCAAAGTTTGCATTTTCGCGCCAGTGATTTCCGTTGGAAAGCAAGATCGGCACATTGCACGCACTTGCATACACATTCAATCCATTTAGAACATCTACATGATTCTAAGATATTCTACGAACATGTCATGCTCACCCTTTTGTGGCTGTGGTTGGTATAGGAACGCACCTGCGAACTGTGCAGTATTTTCATGTGTTGGCTGTGAGAGCCAGCATTGACATGTAGAAACTCACTCTGCCGAATGTCTGAATTAAGCAAAGCAAACACACACAAACACAAGCAAATAAGAAAGCTATGCTTAGTTCAAGTGTGAAATTTGTTCATCATTGATTGAAATCATCAACTTATACTCAAAGAGTGTCCATACATAGAATATCATATAATGTTTGGGCATAGAACAGCCATCATTATTTCATAGACACTACGGCACATGACAGTACTGAGTCACTGAGACACCTTCATCTCCTCCAGCTCATAAAGCTCTCTGGTGAAGTAGCAACCATCGATTGCGTTTGGAGCCTCAACGTCATGGGATATCGTAATTGAACCGATGAACATGATGCGAAGCTGTCCAGTTTGATGCACAAAAGGAGCTTCCCAAAAGGGAACACATGGGACAACCAAGGAGGGAACAGCAGCGTATCATCCACTTTCGGGAAAGAGTGCTTTCTGCTTGCATACTCAACTGACGCGCACTTTCAGAACAATAAAGGGAACCCTACTCCAATTACATCCATGTACTAGATTTACTAGATACATCTAGATACAATTGATGGTGGGGAAGAGAGCCATCTGCAGAGAACAATGCACACCATGTGCACAACGCCAGTGAGTTTAGTGGAGCTTCAGAGAGTTTCACAACATTTCACAACATTTCACAACTTCACCAAGGCCCTTCCGGAATCTTCCGGATCCGGATACTCCAAGATGGTGCTAAGCTCCAGGCAGATGGCCGTGAGCCTCCGACTTGCTCTTCCACCAGTCCCTGCACCATGCCGAGTTCATGGACTGAACCATGGCTGCTTAATGGCTGCTTGCAGCACACTTCAACATGTAATTTCAACATCTTCTAACCTTAAACCGCTGAAGATTTGGTCCAAAAGGCCCAAACAAGGTACACAGACTTTTGATTGCACTACTAGTTGCGAAGTTCAGGAATGCCATGACACGTGTGCACGCACATTGAAATTGGTTAAAACATAAGGATCTGCAAGCATTGGTTCGTCCGCGACATGGGTCTTCCCCTGCATGCAAACACCTTCACACCCAAGCTAGCAAATGCTAGGAGCAAATAGCAGGCTGGCATGATCTGGCATGTTGAAAACGACCCACCATGTGAAGGAGTATTGGAGAGTTTGCATTTCAGAATCCTTTGCCTTTCGTGGAACTCCACCGAATTTTAAAGCGAGGACGTGGAACAAGCCTCGGGCCTGAGGCTCCGGTGCTCTCCAGGCTGTCGGAAGCTTGGCATCCTGAGTTGAGCTGGCGGAGCATGAAGGAGCAAGGAACTGTCAATGCATTTTCAAAGGCTGACAGGGGCCCCAACACTGAGAAAGTCTCGTATTAAGAGCAACGAACGTACAGTCATACAGTATATACTATAATTATACTAATAGCTATAGATAGCTATAGATAGCAATAGCGTTGCTATTATAGCATTGAACAAGGATGTCCATTTTATTCCATTTACATCCGCTGCACTTGTGTGGCTCTGCGTCAAGTGCAGCAGTGGGTCAAATTTGCTCGCCAAAAAACTTGCTTACATCAATAAGTTAGTATATGTGAATATATGACCGAACATATGCGTAGCCACTCACAGCATCGGGCTCATGTTTTTCGCCGCGCGCCCCGCCACACCACGCAGGCAGCATCTTGTCTTGTTTGTCCACCCCTGCACCGTGCTGGAAACGTAGCAGGGACGGTAGGGGTGAAACGGAAGATAGAGATCTGGTGCCGGACAGCTCATCATCACTGGATGTCTCCTCGCAGCGAGTTTGTTGGAGTGTATCAAATCATAGGATGCTCACAGGGGGTCTGCATGCTCACACACTGGCAGCACCGCGCCAAATCACCATTGGAGTGAATAAAAGCAAGAAGCCTCCTCTGCTGCCTCTCTGTTCAATCATGTTTCACCCTGTGGATCCTGAAATATCCTTGTTAAAATGACTATTTCCCTACTTCTTCTTAATCAAGATTGACACCAGCTGAAACTCAAGTGCCTGTCCTCTGCATCCTTTCTGGGCGGATAGTAGATCCAGGATCTGTCCACATGTTCGACATTTTCGGCTGCCACAGCATCTTGCTGAAGTTCAACTTCTTCCTTTTGCGCCTTTTGTGCAACTTCTTCGACTGCAGTCTCTGACTCTTGTGCTTCGGCCACAGCTGAGCCGCTATCAACCTCCAGGTCGGTTGTGCTCAGGCCGGCTAGATATGGCTCAATGGGATAGCATGATTGTAATGGAATGTCATGGATGAGCTACATGGCCCGACCATCTTCAAAAAATGCTAACTGGCTTGAGCTGCATGTGTGATGTGTGTATCCTTGAAAGGTCTAGAAGTATAGAAGCTTGTGCCTGTGCGAATTCGCACCAATAATGTTGACATAATTATCAGAATCAGAATATATGACATAGATTGACCATTATTGATCCATGTCAAGGAAGTTGCGTCAATTTCCATCTTTCTCAAGTCCCCACGGCACCTCCGTTTCTGCAAGCTTTGCCGAGTCGATTTTGAGCTCGGATAGCTCGGATAGCTCGGGGTTCGTGAAGTCGGGCACACACACCATCGGTGTCATGTTTGGTATGTCTGGCATGCCTGGCATGCCAGGCCACCAAGGGGCCACCGGCGCCAAACTAATGTCTCCCATGGGCCATGCAACCATCATAATTTGAGACCAGTCCTGGCGGTGAGGACCCTTACAGTGCCTTGCAGGGTAACTCAATCATACTCAATCTGTGTCATGGTCTCCTGGTGTCTCGTGGGGTGTCCGAAAGCACCAAACCGCTAATAGCCGCTAATAGTGACATCACACGCACCAATCTTAAGAAGAGGAGCGTCTTTATCTTGGAAACTTAAGTGGATTGTAAGATACACTACTTTCTGAAGAATCTTACCATTGTGGATTATACTGCAAAAGACATGGAGATCAAAGTGGGCAACAGGCTTGCAAGAGCATCAGCAACACCAGTTCAATCCTGTTTCACAGTACCAAGGCACCTCCATCTGATCCATGCTGTCCATGCAGTTGGCAAACTGAATGTCCAAACCGTTGTCATCCTCATCACCTGCCGTCTTGGTACCTGCGTTGGTGAACTGAACATGTCTTCCCTTTGTCGGATCACTACATCGAAGCAATGATTTCTGAAGATCATGTTGATAAGCAGCCAACCTTTTTTCCAGCTGGCTGCAGGTGCTTCTTTCTTATTTGTGAAGGAAAATATGCAAAAAAATGGTGTATATATAATATATTATATTTATAAAAGTCGTAAAACATGAAAAGTAATATCCAAGGAAGAGCGGAAACATACGTGTGGGAACACTGCCACTCTTGTGAGTCGTGTGATCCCTCCAATTTTGTCCCAGTCACCTACAGCTTCTGTTCCAGTCAGCATCGCTGCGAGTTCATCTACCACAGAGTCGCCAGCCCTTGGATTCTGCAGATCACAAGAAATATCCACTAAAGCCATGGACAAACGGTCAGTTGATGATATGATACCTAAAACATATTAAAACATCCTTAAACAATGTCATGTCTCTCAATGTAAAGGTCTTGTGTGTACGAAACCTCAAAGCAACTCTACGGCAGAAAATGGAGAACCACCATGGTTCGGCTCACTGCATTGTCCATTCTGCTGGATGTGATACAACTTTGACTTAACATGCCTCAACCAACATACTGCACACTCAAGTTCCACAGAATTCTCCAGGAGACCGGTTGAAGGAGTGTGGTGTTGCGTGGAATAAACACCAACTTGCAGGATGGAGTTGATTTCTCCATCTGCTATTGAAGAGCTTCGTCTTAGATTTATTGACTAGATCTGACAAGTATATATACCAGTAATCTGGACCGAATCAACCAAGACTCTTGGAGGATGTCGCCTCTTTCATGATAGGGCCCGGGGGCCACGGCCCTTTACTGGCACTGAAGGTATCGAAACACGTCCTGGGTGCGGCCCGAAATTTCCCCGCATGGTTAAGTGAGGGATTCCGAGCTTGAAAGCTCCAAACACTCTTCACATCTCTTCACAGCCTCAAAAATTCAAGCGACAATTCCCTTACTTTCTGAGGATTTCCAACACGGAAACGAACCGCAAACATGACCTTCCTTCTTGTTTCTTCAATGAATACAAACAAGGTATATATATATATATTATATATATGTGTGTGTGTGCCTGAAACTTGGATCGCATACTAACAGCAACGACCCGTACCCCGGTCTCATGATACTTCATGTGCAGAGTTGCTAGACTCACTTGAATCTCTTCTGAGTGAGATACTCGCACCGTCCCACATACCAGTAGGTTCCAACATTGCATAACATTGGCAAGATTTGGCAAGGCAACTGTTGGACAGCAACCAAGGATCTCGAAGCCCATGTTATGCCAGGCTGGATGCCACACGTCATCAGGCTCTCTGCCGGGACGAGCAGCGGCATCGACTAAAAGCTGAGCGAAAGCATCTGCGGCGGTTGTGGCATGGGGTGTGGCTAGTCCTCAAAACGTTCCTGTGATTTCCTGTGCCGTGCTTTACTCACTCGCGGACTAAGAGCCTGATGCCTTGGGGATTCCCAAAATGCCCAACTATGCTCAATTGCTAGGGGGTCCCGCATGGTCCGTGGATTGCCTGCCTGGCAAAGAACGGGGCTCCTCTTGAAGGGCTTTGATGGCCGTTGTTGAAAGCCATGGCCTTTGGCAAGGCAACTTTGCAAAGAAGACCTGCACCACGCAGTAAGGTGACGAAAGCTCTGGGTTTCAACAGGGTACACCTATGAAGACCTCAAGGGGTGCTACAAGGGGACCTTCTCACAGCACAAGTAAAACTCATTTTCATCTGCTGGGAGTTCCCAGTCTCGTTTTCTGGTCGTGAACTCCTCTTTTGACTAAATACATAAATAGATTAACTTTTCCCTTTAATGATAAACACATTTATGAGGTAAACGCAATGCCATAAACCATAAACTATATGATTTATACAACCTGTTTCTCGTTTCTCATTGGGGTGGTTGATTGACTTGATTGATCACATGAGTGCAAACTGTTGCTGATTTGCTTAGTCAATCTTTATCATTCTCCTGGTGACCAAGCGACCTGCGTACGTCTGCAGTGTTCCAAGTTCTTCTTCAAGCCCTGAAGGTGAGCCACTGAGACGATGACAAGACGCCGCCGATTTGGTTGGCCTTTGAAGATGTAGCCACCTAGCGCCATATGGGGGCGTCTTAAAATGGGGGATCCCCAAAACCATGGGTATAGCATGGGTTTCAATATTAACATATTTTTAAAATTGTCTAAATTTGGATGATTTGGGGGTACGTACCTGCATTTCAGGAAACCTCCAAATGCTCGTCCACCGTCCAACATTGTCCAAGATTGATACAAGCATTCGTTTAAGGGCCCGTGCTTGATACAGGCATTCGTTGACTTGGCCCTCAGTACACTATCCAAAGTTGTGGCATGACACATCCCGCCTGCGGGGCCAAAGATGTCAAAGGGGTTTGCGCTCAGTATGCAACGCTTGTCAAAACATGCTTTACAGTATCTACCTGGATTATTCCAATCTGTAATCTCTAACGTGTTGATTTCCGCCATCAACATGACATGAAGAGACAACTTATAGAGAAATCGCGGCGTGTGTACGGCTGTGTATGGCGCTCACAGTCATTAGGATATGCGCGGTAGCAGGAGGCCCAGGTTGATCAATTGTTTATTACCTACAGGAAGACATGACCTGCCCCCCTGCCCCCCCCCAAAAAAAGAACCACCAACTTGCGACCCAGCTGCTCATTTGTTTCATGCAACCCTTACATGTCTTTTCATCTTCAAAGTTGACAAAGGCATAGCCGACGTTGTTCTTGGTCATTGAGTCTATGGGCAAGTAAAGGAAGTTGAATGACCTTGGCTTTGAGGACCATTTGATCGGCAGGCACCAGCTTTTCAAATCGTTTCAAATCACACGCTCAAGGATCACAAGGACTATAATATGACATTGCATAACTCTGTCATACGTATATTATCGTATTGATATATATTGAATGAATTGATAATGAATTGACCATCAATTCTGGAAAACAACAACACACCTCGACAATTTACTGCGAGCAAACTCCGAATGACCCGCCATAGCCCAGGCCCTCTAGCTCCTTCAACATGTTCTCGCGATCGTAGTGGTTGGGCACATTTCGGAGCATCAGTGTCGTTGTACCGGTTGGACATTTTGAGTCCTTGGTGATTGGACCCTGAACATCCTGAACTGAGTGTGTTTCATTGTGTTTCCATTTCTGCAGGATTCTGCAGGACATCCTGCAGCGATGGAAGCAGGACGTAACATGACTGCCAAAGCCTTCTTGGAAACGAGGGCTCCGTGGCTCTGTTGATTCCATTTCTTAATTTTCTTATCACTTGTTTGGGTAAATCTACGGAATCCAGTCTGCCCTGTAAGGCAAATACTCCATGAGCTCAAATCAATACTCCCCAAAGCACAATTCATTTCCCACTGACCACACAACATCCCTGCAATTTCCCAGCACAAATTGAATCGAACAATTTTTTGGGCAACCAAGTACCACCAAGCTACTGAAGTTTCCTTCAAATTCGTTTTCTTCGGCACTTCTCTGTGTCTTTTGGGCACCGGCGGCACCTGCGGCACTGGGGCGGATGCCTCCAAGTTGTCTGCCCACCAGCAGCCCGACCAGTTGGACCAGTCAGACCATCCGGACCAGTCATCGATGAACCAGCTCCATGGGAGATCCATGACTTGATCTGGGCCTCGGGTGCCTCGGGCTCAACTTTTGAGAAGGGCGGTTGTGTCTGGCAAAGCAAATGGTAAAGCAAATTGCAAAAGAAGTAAAGGAAGCACTCTGGGACAAAGGAAATAATCAAATCATATCAAATCTGGCTTTAAGAATTTTAAGATGCCTTAAGTCTTAAGTAGTCAAGTTTCCATCATGATGTTCCTTCGCACTCTGCAATGACGGGGAACCACTCTCCGCATTGCCCCGGGCGACGTGAGGTTCTGCTGGGGGGTCCTCCAGGGATGCCGGTGAATACCTTCAGACACCTAATGATGTCCACAATGGCTTGGCAAGCCGCAAAGCTATACCAGAGGAAAATATCAATATAGATTGGTGCAAGTTTAAAACTTCGCTGATGGCACTACGCAACCTGATGTTTCGGGTTATTATCCATCTACCCCTGTGGGGTCAAGAACCACATTGACATGTGACGTGGTCTCACCCGTATTCACCCACCCGAACTCCTCCAACTGCTTCCCCTGGCTGGAGTCCTCCAAATCAAGCCTTGGACATGTTGGAATTTCATGATTGCAGTCCCTTGCGATTTTGGACGGTTTTTCTCAAGTAAGTGACTTGCAGAAATAGAACACACATGAAAAACCACCCTGAATGAGTACCAAGATGTGCTCTATAGATCTCCATAGTGCTCAGGAGGTTGGTACTATGGATTACTATGGGCCTCTGGTGATTTGATTTGCTCCTGGTCTCCCTGGCCAGCCGCTTGCTGCTGCTTACGGTGGTGAGGACAAAGATCAATACTTTTACAATGGCTGCGTTCAAGAATCTTTGAGAGATGCTGCGGAATAACTCACCGCGCAGGAAGTTGCGAACAAAAACTGATAGATATCAACTGATGTAATGTAGGAGCCGGTCTTCAATATGGTCAGGGACATGAAAAGACATAAAAGCATATTGAACCTTGAGGCCAGCAACTCCTCCTGACGGCGCGAAGACGTATTGTCTTGCTGCCATCCATGGCATCTCTCTGGGGACAGATCCTGAACCGACTTTTGGGAATGTGTGTGCATCATTGGCACATCGTCCGGCACCTTGATCAGCTCATGCCAGCACAAGCTCTGCAAATCACTGTAGTATCGATTCCGAAATTGCGACGAGTTGGAAGAAATTGGAAGAACCATGAAGAACCCTTTACTTGAAGTTACTTGGCTGTTTGCAGTTTGGGATGGAACAAATGGCATCGTGACATTGTGGGGGGAATCCACTGAAGTTATATATACACACTGGAGTCACTGGAGGTACAAAGGCATGTTTGATCAAAATCCAAATTCTATGCTTTCAGTATCTTTCAGTTTCCATGCACTGGTCACATGGATAATTTTTGTTAACGCATTTTGTCCTGAGATTCTTCAAACCACACAGGCTAAGAGTTGGCTAGCCCCCACCATATCCCACCATCCAATGTTGTCCAGTTGCTGTGCACGGAGAGCACCTGAGCCGGAGACGCTTGGCGCGTTTGGTGTTTTGCTGCAATGATTCAAAGAATGTCCAAACATGTTCAAGCAATGTCTGAAAACAATGTCCTAAACTTTACAATGTCTTCTTAAAGAATGTCTTCCAATAATGTCCTCTTGCTGGGCTGGCTTTGGTGGATGCATGGTATTGTGATGTATTGTGCCTGAGCAGGCTTGCATAATTTCCATAGATCATAGACTAACGCAGTCATGCAATACAAACAGGCCAAAGGGGTAATGTATACAATGCTGACACCCATCTCGTGCTGGTCACGCCACATGAGAATCCTTGATGTGATGCCCCATACTCAGACGTTCAGAGTTTATCACACACGATCTCCAACCAGAACGTGAATTTGCACGAAATGCTTCAAGCTGCTCTCTCGAACACTCTGATCCCATGCGGGCTGCGATATGCTGTGATTGATGTTTGGATGAGAGGTGAAGCAGGGTCAGGGACATCCATTCCAGTTCAGCTGAGTTTTGATTGAACAGTATTGAACAACTTTGAACAATATTGAACACTTTTAACCATGGAAAGAAGATTTTGAAATTTTCAGGAATTGGTCATCTCCGGTCCTGGAACCATGTTAGCGCTTGAAATGTCTGTTGCTCTGCAGTCTGTAAGCTAGCTGACTCCGATGTTCAGAAGAATGCTATTAATCGTCCTGTCTGAGTCGTGGCCTATCCAAAAGCTCAAGAGGGACCTCCAACGATTCAAACTGGCACTGATATTCACTGGTCATATCCAGCGCTTGAACCATGGAAATGCCAATGGCAAGCACTCAACAGTCGAACATGAAGAAATACATAGAAATACCATCTCATTCCTCAGTCAGTCTTCGAGCATACGATTGTCATCTATCTATTTTTTACGATTGTGACCTGTTTGGATCTGTCTGGACCATCCAAATGTTTTCAATCTGCCTGAAATCACTGTGAAGTTGCAAGGGCAATCTAACGAACCTCACGTTCACAGCTCCGGAGCCCAAAAAAACATTTTTCATCTGAGAGATGCCTGCACTGGCAGGCAATGCGCATAAGGTTTCAGCCATGTCTGGCGGAATGTCTAGAGTCTAGAGAGGTGATTCATGTGTCTTGGAGCCCGTCTTGCTTGATGGCGATGTCCTTAGTCCGGTGCCATTTCTGAGACGCCATATGAAACACTCTCCCCATAACGCATGCCACGCCCAGCCATCAGAGGTCATTGTGATAACTCAGAGCTGTTCTGGGAATCTACGATCTCATGGTGGTCTTCCCAACATTGGTCCATTTCTAGTAGGAAAATGATGGACTTAGGCGCAAAGAAACATCTGATCAGCAGTCATTACTCCATCTGATTCCTGAAGGCATCAGGTATTGTCAGACATAATTAATACAATAAGCAATCACTTAACAAACCACCTGCCCTACGAAGTTAAAGCGAGGCTCAAAGACAAGAGGTGCATGAATGCACTGATAGTGTTCATTCATGGAAGACGCATTTACAAAATGCGTGGTACCATCAAAGGTCACCTTGGCTGCCGTGGTTCTTGGTGCAGTTGCACGCTTTTCCCCAGCAAACAGACTACCACACTGCTCTAAGAATATCTGTTTGGTTTAATCATTTACCTCGAATTGAATTTAGGCCTCTGAATCTGTGTCCGTGTAGTCGCAATAGTAGATAGGTGGGGCAGGGAAATATCGGCAAGTAACAATTCGCAAACGGTTTGCCATACTTTGCAATTTTATTATGCGTTCATATTACATGAATATGTTGATCTTGGTAGGAACACGATTGAATTTTGTGACGGTATTGGGCTCTGACTTTTTGTACAAAACCATGGTTGAAACATGTTGAAATCACGCAAGTGGATCGAGTAGCTCCAGCTCCCTCGTGGATATGCCCGAAGACGCAAAACTGCGGTCGTATTCGGTCTTGCACTTCAAATAATAAGTCCTTGGCATTTCAAACTGTGGCCAGAAGGACATTAATTACATCGGTTGGCACCCTAGAGGAGACTTCACTGGGAGTCAATACTTGCCTCCCTCCGACTCTGACTAAAGTTCATGGACTGGAATACCTCTCATTCTTGGAGGGACGGTCGTGCATCTGTTTGATGTCTGCTTTCTACAAAAAATCACTAGTTCATTAATTTCATCTAAGTTCTGCAATCTATTTTGAGAGCCGTCACAAACCAACGGATTTTCAGCACAATTGCCAAAAATTACAAGAGTTCCATCATCGAAAACTTTGACAGCACCTCTAATTAAGATCCACTATTGCAATGATACATATTGTATCATATTGTCATATTGACACCAAGAGGCCATGCATCCTCTGCGTTTGAGAGAGGGAAGCAAAGCATCACCCCGTCCCAAAGGTGGGCCGTGGACCAACAGGACGTCCACGTTTGAAGGGATGGCCTGGGCAGGTTCACTTTCCACACGACTATTGAAACATATTCAAACATATTGAAGCATTCAACGGATGGCCCAATGGCCGATTGATACACTTTTCAGCAGAAAAAACATAATCAGATATAATCAGCATATTGGTCTCTTGGTTTCCTTCAGATACAAACACTGTGAAACTTCGAATCAGTGTGATGTCCATGGCGAAGGTAGCGTGGTAATATTTCAGGGGTAGTTTGTGCAAATGTACCATCACACTTTATACAAAACTGCTCAAGTGCCACATGATGTGATTGAAACTGGGACGGCAAAATACATATAACTACATCATACCAGAAGTACCGCGCAAGGCGGTGGCGGAAGTTTCAAAAATAGGAGACCTATAGGAGAGGTTGGTTGTTGTGAATCACGGATGGCAGAGCGAATCCACTGATGGACCGAAAGGTGGTTGGATGTGGTTGGAGTTGTGTTTTCTGGAGTGGTTGCAATGGTTGCAGTGGTCACCTCACCACAACTGCTGGATGTAGTGTGTTGTAGTGCAGTTGTAGTTGTAGGTGTAGTTGTAGTTGCAGTTTTAAGTTGTAGTTGCAGGTGTAGTTGTGGTGTAATTAGTGTAGTGTATTGTAGTGTACTGTAGTGTTGTGTGCTGTAGCGTGGCATAGTGTAGTCTAGTGTATTGTAGTGTAGTTTAGTTGTAGTTACAGTGTAGTGTCGTGTAGTGCAATGTAGTGGTAGTTGCAGTTGTAGTGTAATGTAATGTAATTAGTGTAGTGTAGTGTTGTGTAATGTAGTGTAGTTGTAGTTGTAGTTGTATTTGTGGCTGTAATGTACTGCAGTTTAATTAGGAATGTATTGTGGTGTAATGTAGTGTAGCTGCAATTGTAGTTGTAGCTGTGGTGGTGGTGGTGGTGGTGGTCGTAGTCGTAGTCGTAGTTGTAGTCGTAGTAGTAGTAGTAGTCGTCGTCGTCGTAGTAGTAGTAGTTGTAGTAGTAGTAGTAGTAGTAGTAGTTGTAGTAGTAGTAGTAGTAGTGTAGTGGTACTTGTAGTTGTAGTTGTCTCTCCATCTATCTGTCTATCTGCAAGCTTGAAAACGAAGCTATTCTGCGAGACTTCCTCCGTTTTTGAACTTGACAACATCAAAAACGCAGCAATTCAGCGAGATTCCTCAATTTTTGAACTTGACAACATCAAAAACGAAGCAATTCTGCGAGACTTTTTCATTTTAAATTGACAACATCAAAAACGAAGCAATTCTGCGAGACTTCCTTCAAATATGGAAAGTTGAGTGCAGAGCTGACGGCCTCGTGCCAATGCGTTTTGTGATTTTTCCACTACACTTGTCTAAACTACTGCGCCTGCCACAAAAAAGTGATACCGGTCATACGAAGTGCTGCGCCTGTCACGCAAAATCATCTCTGTCTCTTGTACTGCGCCTGCCACGGAAAATGCATCTTTGCAGATCCTCTTCAAATGTCCCAAGCCTGCCATCGTTTTTTGAAATGCGACAAAACCCTCACGTGCAAAACGACATCTGAACGTCCAAAAGTGCTCCGAACCCCTCAGTTTTTTCCACTTTTGACTTCAAAATGTGCTTCGCGCCACAACGGCGTGCACTTTTTCGACATCTCAACTTCCAAAAGTGGCCCGAAGCTGAGGTGTTTTGTACATTTTGACTTCGAAATGTGCTTTGCGCGACAACGGCGTGCACTTTTCAACATCGCAACTTCTAAAAGTGCTCCGAATGTGAGGTGTTTTTTTTTGCATTTTTCACTGACAAATGTGCTTCGCGCCACAACGGCGCGCGCTTTTTCGACATCTCAACTTCCAAAAGTGGTCCGAACATGTGGTGTTTTGTGCATTTTGACTTCGAAATGTGCTTCGCGCCACAACGGCGTGCAATTTTGCATCTCTCATCTGCCCAGCGGGCTCCGCACCCGCCGCTTAAGAGAGCCTACTTTTCGAGCCTCCGGAGCCACAAATCATTGGAAAAACACAATGTTTCGCGACTTTCCTACCTTTTCGCGCATCTGCATCTTCTTTCTTCTGAGACTTTCTCTTTTTTGATCCTTTTTCTTCTTCTCTTCTCTTCTCTGACTCTTCCCGTCTCTGCTTTTCATCTGTCCATATTGTTGGAAGTTTGACTTCTAAACTTCCTTCGACTATATCATATGATAATATTACATACATGTACATATCTATATATGTATATATATATATATTATATATATATATTATATACATATTATATATATACTCGAGACGATACGATTACTGTGATTCGGGGTTGAGGCAATGCTGACTTGGATTGACTAGACTGTTCTTGCACGATACATTTCCATCAGCGTCTCCAGGCAGAAAGCTCTTGTTGGAAACAAGAATCGCATGAAATCATGTCACTACCCTGCACAGGACTGTCTACAATAGTAGGCTTCATCATTTGGTGAGTTCTTGAAATTGGCTTGGCCTACAAGTGCCTTGGACCATGTGTGAGTTCAGATTTGCCAGTGGCTGAGATTCTGGAATTTTCCGGTGTGGATTTAGAATGATTGAGAGAGAGAGAGAGAGATATATATAGATAGATATATATAGATAGATAGATAGATAGACAGATAGATAGATAGATAGATATGATAGATATGATAGATATAGATAAATAAATAAATAAATAAATATTTATATATATATATATCACGCATTGGGCTCTACTGTGCAACACAACTTCCCTTGTACTATCTTGTACTTGAATTGGGAGGTCCCTCTAAAAATTAACCTGACACTCCAGCAAAGTTGGTACCCATGCGCCCATATATGCCCATATCATCCTTGCGCGCATGTTAGCTGCCAAGCATGAGAACTCATCAAGAAACCTGTATGTAGTTCATGTAAGCAAAACCCTTCGAACAACCACAGCACATCTCAAGCAGTACATAGCGAGTTCATGAACTTAACTTCGAATAAGTTGGACCTCTGTTGACTGCTTCAAACATGCTTTGAGACAGGTCAACTTGCAACTTGCAACTGCTCGTTTTTTTTCTCTACCAGGCAAGAAGACTTGAAATAGTTTGAAGCGCAGGCAAATTGGTGACATGTGTAAGAGATTATAAAGTCAGATTGCAAACCAAGCTCTGTCCAATCGAAAGAATGTAGAACTCCCTGAAATCAGCATACTTTGAAGGCTGACCAGGTCAGGCGGTACTGCATGTAGCGATTTGCTCACCAGTATCTACTCGAAATCCTTAAGTGCCAGAATTCTGCATGCTCGGGCAGACATGGTCCCATGAAGGAGCCGTTTCACTTTCTTGAAGTTGGCAATTCGACCTTCGCAGTCGAACTTGTGAATTCGCAGGAAGCCACCGTGCAATTTCGGGTATGATACCATATTCCTGACGCCCAAAAACTGCAACGCCATATGGACAAGAATGTCACGTCTGTGGGACATGAGATCCTCATAACTCAAATAGTGATACGGCAAGCCAGTGCGCCGCAAAAAGTGCAACCAATGCACATGTTCCCTCTCTTTAGCATGCAGAAGGGGCAAATGTTGGTCGGTGAAAGGAAACTTTTCAGTATGCCCCCTTGCTGCCACAGACTTTGGATCCGCTGTGTGATGTGTATTTGAGCCATTCAAATTCAATTGTTTCGCATTCGCAGCTGTCTGAAAACTGGATGCTAAGTTCAAAATGACTGCTTCTCGAACCAAATGCACGATTCGCACCTTGCGTGTATGCAAATACTCTTGAAACCACCCATCGGGCAAATGCGTCCCATTGATGACTTGGCCGGGCCCTTTCACTTGATCATACATCAGCTTGAAGCCTGCAATCTTTTTGCCATGCTTCTGTGCTTCTTTGCAAACTGCGTCGAAGGCGTGGTCTGCTGCATGCGCCCATTCTTCAGCTGAAATCTGTTCCTTGTAGGATCTTTTGGAAAACGTGATCAGCGCTTCAGACGCCGTTGGGCAAAACACTTCTGGCTGATTCCCAAGTGCTTCAGAAAACCAAGTCGAACCACTTCTCTGTGTCGTGAGCACAATAAATTTGGTGCAAGTCGGACTCCCTTGGGCAATTGGAACTGCGTTGCGGCCAACAGCTTCTTTGCACGTTGGAGCCAGAATACCCAGGTTCAGTTTGGCTGCGCCAAATCCCAAGGGACCAAGGAAAACAATCGCTGCGCAAAAACCCGTTGTGAAAATGGAAGCCTGGCTTTGGACTCGTTGGTCAGGCACCATGGCAAAGCAAATCTTTGTCAAACCCTTGCACAAGAATTAAGGCATGGAAACCAAAGCATTTATGCCTTGGCAAATCATACCCTGCATAAGCGCAGTTGTCCTTGGGCCCCTTAAGTAGCTGCGAGCGATGGCAAATGATGTCAGGAATTACGTTCAGAAATTATTCACAAACGAGTTCCAACCTCCACAATCAGGGTGAATGATACCTTCAAACATTCACACTCTTGCATTTTGGCCGACTTACGCAATCAAGGCGGTCATTCGTGAGTTACTAATGTTACTGAATATGTTGAGCAGAAGCTGTGGTCCCTAGCTAGACATAGAACAGAGATGAACAGAGATTACCACATTGACCCACATGATATTCCAACATATTCCATTCATTTTGGCCTTTATACCTCCATGTCAAATGGTTTTTCAAACCTTGTGTCACGCCTCCACCCTGCACCCATGGCCTTCCACTTCTCTCGGATGGCACCCCGTGGCATGTTGAATGCCCAGTCCAAGAACTCCGGTTGCCACGGGCTTCCGTAGATTCGAACACCACCTCAGCAGCTTTCCTTGCGGCCTTGTATGGCCCTGTACCTTTTTGTTTCGCTGAGCCTCATGGAACGTGTTTTTTTGGAACATCCTTCAAAGGAAAGTAGCCGGACCACAGTACCAAGTGCAGTGAAAACCACCGTATTTATACCAGTAATATCGCACAAGGCGGTGGCGGAAGTTTCAAAAATAGGAAACCTATAGGGGAGGTTGGTTGTTGTGAATCACGGATGGCAGGGCGAAGCCACTGATGAACCGAAAGGTGGTTGAGGTCTCCTCTCTTTCTCTCTTTTTCTCTCTCTTTCTCTCTCTTTCTCTCTCTTTCTCTCTCTTTCTCTCTCTTTCTCTCTGTCTCTCTCTTTCTCTCTCTTTCTCTCTCTCTTTCTCTGACTATCTACCTACCTACCTACCTATCTATGTATCTATGTATCTATGTATCTATCTATCTATCTATCGATCGATCGATCTATCGATCTATCGATCTATCGATCTATCTATCTATCTACCTCTCTCTCTCTATCTTTCATCTAATTACCTATCTATCTATCTATCCTATCCTGTCCTGTCCTGTCCTATCGTATCCTATCCTATCCTATCCTATTCTATTCTATCCTATCCTATCCTATCTGTCTGTCTGTCTGTCTATCTACAAGCTTGAAAACAAAGCTATTCTGCGAGACTTCCTCCGTTTTTGAACTTGACAACATCAAAAACGCAGCAATTCAGCGAGATTCCTCAATTTTTGAACTTGACAACGTCAAAAACGAAGCAATTCTGCGAGACTTTTTCATTTTAAGTTGACAACATCAAAAACGAAGCAATTCTGCGAGACTTCCTTCAAATATGGAAAGTTGAGTGCAGAGCTGACGGCCTCGTACCAATGCGTTTTGCGATTTTTCCACTCCCCTTGTCTAAACTACTGCGCCTGCCACGAAAAAGTGATACCGGGTCATACGAAGTGCTGCACCTGTCACCCAAAATCATCTTCCCAAAACTGAAGATCTGACTCTCCAAAATGCAACCCCTTTCAGGAAATGGAGCGCCCGGACCTCCTAACAACTCTGATAAACATGTCTCTTGTACTGCGCCTGCCACGGAAAATGCATCTTTGCAGATCCTCTTCAAATGTCCCACGCCTGCCATCGTTTTTGGAAACGCGACAAAACCCTCGCGTTTTGCTAACTTTTGACAACGTGCACAATCCCTTGCGCCTGCCACGCAAAACGACATCTGAACGTCCAAAAGTGCTCCGAACCCCTCAGTTTTTTGCACTTTTGACTTCGAAATGTGCTTCGCGCCACAACGGCGTGCACTTTTTCGACATCCCAACTTCCAAAAGTGGCCCGGAGCTGAAGTCTTTTGTGCATTTTGATTTCGAAATGTGCTTCGCGCCACAACGGCGTGCACTTTTTCGACATTGCAACTTCTAAAAGTGCTCCGAATGTGAGGTGTTTTTTTTTCATTTTTCACTGACAAATTAAATGTGCTTCACGCCACAACGGCGTGCGCTTTTTCGACATCTCAACTTCCAAAAGTGGTTCGAGTGTGGTGTTTTGTGCATTTTGACTTCGAAATGTGCTTCGCGCCACAACGGCGTGCAATTTTGCATCTCTCATCTGCCCAGCGGGCTCCGCACCCGCCGCTTAAGAGAGCCTACTTTTCGAGCCTCCGGAGCCACAAATCATTGGAAAAACACAGTGTTTCGCGACTTTCCTACCTTTTCGCGCATCTGCATCTTCTTTCTTCTGAGACTTTCTCTTTTTTGATCTTCTTTCTTCCTCTTCTCTTCTCTGACTCTTCCCACCTGTGCTTTTCATTTGTCCATTTTGTCGGAAGTTTGACTTCTAAACTTCCTTCCATAAATTGCTCATGCATGCTCATGGCATGTAGTGGCAGAGTTCTGGGATCTGTCAACCTCACCCGCAGTGGCACTATCAGTCACTATCATTATCTGGCGAACTTTGTCAAGAAGCAAATCATCAGCTCTTCATCTTCCAAGTAGGTGATCCCATCCTAGGCTCCAGTGTCACTACCGTATGTGTCACTATTCATGATCAGCTTTCATTTCAGATGCTGTGAAAGTTGCCGACATATGATGATCAAACTCAAATCTTGAAATCTGAAACTCCTATCAATGTCCTGCATGTTTTCGTTCTGTCTTCTCGAAAACCTTCCTCAGTCCACCTTGAGCCCAAAGAGCATGGCTCGAATTGAAGGACTTGAGGAAGGCCGACCGGACGGAGTTCGCTGCAGTGCTGTCCTTCACCTATGGCAACAAGTGAAGTACTGTAGACAGAAGAATTCTGTGTGGATCACTGCAGGTTGGCGCTCCATGCATCAGGGGAAATCCACACAAACACGCACAAACTGGCAGATGAGGAGCAATCAACACCAACAGGGGCAAGGTTCAAAAACTATAAATCTGTGATCTATGATGGAACATCTATGAAGACTGAACTATGGGTATAGAATGCAGCATGCAAATGAATGCACCACAAAGACCCAAAACGCATATTATTGCAACCGCACGTTGAGCAATTTTGTTTGGGCAGATATGTTTAGGCAAAGCCAGGCGAGGATCTCTGAATAGATGGCTATATAAAGTAAAATTGTCTCGCAATCAAACGATATCAATGTAATTTATTTGCATTGTGTTATATCATGTTGTATATATCATATCATATCATGTTATATATACAATGTTATATAATGTTATATATATCATGTTATATCATGTTATATATATATATATCATGTTATATCATGTTATATATATATATATATCATGTTATATCATGTTATATATACCATGTTATATCATGTTATATATTGAATGTCCGGCACTATGCCATCATCAATCATCATCAACCCTCCTTCATTCAAGTTTTGAATAGTTTTGAAAGACTTTGGATCGCGGGACCTTTGGCCTCTTTCGGCCTTGCCCTTCACCTGTTTCGCATCCAGCAGCTCCGATGCCATTGAAATCATTAAAACATATTGAAACACTATATCTATATGTCAAATATTGTAAATATTGTAAACGCACTAAACTATACTGATTTTAAAGATTAATAAATGTATACTGTCAGTATACAGTATTGAAAGCTCAGGAACTCGATCCCCACCATAGCTTTGGTCGAAGGTGAGTTCATGGTTTCCAGCAATCCTTGGATTTTTTAAAGGCATTCATTGCATGATCTCAGGATATCTCAGGGCTTGTGTTCACGTTTGTTCAGGCTGCAAGTCAAATTTCACTCCGTGTGGCATTCTGGAAAGCTTCCGATGTGTTTTTCGCGAAAGAATGGAATGGACACATTAACAAGCTGCAAGAAACAAACATCCGTCTTAGTCCTGCAGCCCCGAATAGCTTCAAACTTTGAATCATGCAGCACCACATCCAATGGATCAAACATGGATCAAACTTTGAAAGATTTTCCAAACACAGAGATTCGAAAGAGATTCGACAGAGTCCCATCGAGCCAAGCATCAGTACCTTGTGGCGATACGGCAATGATCGCAGCCAGGCAGCAAAGTCCATGACCTGTGATTTTCTTCAGAACAAACAACTTCAAACTAATTCTAATAATAAAAGAATCAGAATTTGATGTCAAATTAAATGTGATTAATTTATATTAATTTGATACCAGAAGTACTTGTTAAAACATGTTAGAACATGTTAAAAAAATCTCACAAAATTCTGATCTTCCATGAAGCCTTCAGGGCAAATTCTGCACCATCCCTTGATATCCCTTGTCCTGTCAACCCCGGCGCCTCCTCCAGGCTGCCATCATTGGAGAAATCACCTGCCGTAGCATGTGGAGCTCGTTGCGGTCCATACAATAATTATACGAGCGACCGGGGGAAGCTAGTGAGTGAGATGGTTCAAAAGCATGCACATGCTACATTGGCTGGACGGGTACTCTCATTTTCAGACTAACATGCCCTTGATATGCAATCAATTAGACCTATTGATGATCTAAATCTACAAGTTTGCTGACTTGAGGCTAACTCCACAAGGAAACTCACTTGTCGGGCAATCCCATATATCATATATCCAAATATATCCAAATACAGTATCAAATAAATTCAACTCAATGAACATCAGTTAAAATTATATACCTGTTCAAATTCAAAGCATTCTGTTACCGACCGACTTACTAATTGTCCTCGGAACAAATCTCGCAGCCACATACATGCGACACAAAACTGAAGCAGAAATATGCAGAAATCACCTAGAGCCCCAAAGCACCGAAGCATCTCCGCCACCTCCATGCAGAAGCACATCTCCTGGCGGCAACCTGAAACTGCCCGAACTGCCCGAACTAACAAGATTTCGAGAATGAAAAAAATAGGACAGGACGAGTGTAAGTCTATGTAAGTATGGCAAAAATGCCAGATTTTGCCCAAGAATGATCATGTCCCCTCTCAACAGCAAATGCAGCCTGATCTTGTTCAAATCTCTGATAACGTGCAGAAAAGAACTCCATGGGGAGCAAACAGGAGTTTCTTTACGACTCGAATCTGACATAAGTTCAACACAATTGGATCTTATCAAGTGGCACAAACAGTACAATCAAGGTACCGAGAAGAGAGCTCGCGATGTTGTCCATGGGTGTCAGAAAGGCAAACAAAGCGTAAATGCTCAGGACCCTTTGGAGGTGAAGATGTACCAGAACGACCTTTGGGCTTTGTTTGGATGCAGAGTTGAGGAAACTGACCACCCTTTGAATGTCGCAAAATGGATTGCATGATGTGCAATGACGCACAAACAACACTTCAATGACCGTGCAACACTTTGAGACCATCAAAACCGATCAAAACAATAACCGCAAGACACAACAGTGGAAACTGTTGACTGCGGACTCCTCGGTGCCAGACCATCAGCAATAAAGACTCTATTCGGAACCAGAAACCTCGTCACCACTTGCTATCTGAGTGTCAGCACTGGGGCTCTGATCACTTGCTCAAAACAATCCAATCAACAAATGGATCTCCCAGAAACTGCTGTGAAGCTTCCAGTTGCCGCCAGTGTCTGCCCATTTCGTCATCCTTGTTGATGGAGGTACCTCTCAAATGCCACCAGCTGACAGCCAATCAAGGAGGTTATGGTCAAAAACCATCAAAAACCTTTGCCGCGCACCAGTCGGAAATTAAGATATCTATAGATATCTAAGGGTGAAACCAATAATAATTCACAGGAAGCCTCACAAAACTACTTATATCGTGGGCCTTGATGGCGGGAGGGACTCTCAACATCGCTGAACATAGTGGTGAACTCAGCAGGC